TGTAGCGGCTAATCGCTCGCCTGCGTATCTGAAGGTTGTGAGTTTGGATCCTGACGAAGCCGGATCTTTGTTTTTTTCTCTAAAAATCATCTTTGCTGTCAGTTAGACCCAGCCTTGAGTGGGTACCAGGTGTAGTCTTGGAAAGTAAAGGCAGCCGAAGGGATGCTGACTGCATCCTCCACCTACTGCCGATTGATTAATACAATATAGGTCCAGCCCTATATGCCCATACACCCGAAGGCGCAGAAAAGGGTCCTTTATTTTGAGATATATATGTGTGTGTGTATGTGTATATATATATATATATATATATATATATATATATATATATATATATATATATATATATATATATATATATATATATATATATATACATATATTAATGGAACATGTTGGGACCACTGGACAGATCTGTGGAAGAAGAGATAGAGGAAGACGAGATAAGATTCTTGACAGTCTCTATTCCCAAAATTAAAGTAGCCATTGAAAGGACGCTTCTTTGACGATATTGATGACATCCAAAGGGCCGTAACATCGACTTTGAAGGCCATAACAACAGAAGAACTACAGAGGTCGGTCCAGTTTTTTGTTAGGTCGTGCTACTTGCTGTATCAATGTACAAGGGGCTTCTTTAAATAAAATACAGGTTCTATCTTCAACTGTTTATCAGCTATTTCAGCTAGAAGTCCAAATGAAATTTTTGGTGTTGTTCGTCCATCATGGGTGATGAAGACCACTTTTAATTGAAAGTAGAAATGATTAAAGATTATAAGTGCGACGGTGGCTGATTAGTCCAGTATGAGCCAGGAAAGTTCTTGAGCAGTGCAGACAACAGGTGGAAGCCGCAGTAAATGTGGGATTAGCGATACGGTTCTTTCTAGTCTGCCTCCGTTTCTCTGCCTATGCCTCTGCTGCCTGGAAGGCCGATGCACTATGCCTGAGGGATAAATGAAATAATGGCATGCACAAACATAGATTAGCCTTAAGTGAAACATTATTGAAATAGAAAAAGCCTGATGTGGGGCAAAGAAAGAGGCATGCATGTGATAAACTGTATCGGCTGGGCTACAAATACAAATAGAGATATTTGCCCGTTCTTCTTATATCTTACAACCTCTCTGCAACAATTTCACATCTAATAATGCTTTCACAAACAGTAATTGCACAATTTATTGTCTGGCATTTGGCGGGTATTTCATCATGAAGAATTTCTCACATGAAGTTTGTCTGTGTGTTGATATCTATTGTAGTCCTCCTCTGTTGCTCCTCTGTGACTCACCTGTCTCAATTTATTACTCTGTCTAGTGAGATGCTCTAGATGACTGTTACAAGACATTTTTCTTCTTCACTTTGTCTGTTACCGCTTGGGGTGTCGGGGGAGATTGAGGGTTCTGCTGCTTGCACTTCTGGTCTGCTCGGCTATGGGTATATGGTGCTGTTGTAAAGTTCCTACGATGTTATCTTTCCATATTGTTCTTGATGGTCAATAAGACACATATTTTTAGGGGAGTGAGTAGTTGACCATGTTCTTAGCACACTTTTTTCTATAGCGAGGCGCACATGCCGTTGGAGGTGACAAGTTCGATTCCCTGCCCGGTAACTATAGCTTTGATTTTCATGTTGTCTATTGTGTTTTTCTATCTTCATACTTCTTTCTCTGAGTTCCGATCAATACATTGTCTGTTACTTGATTAATATCTAATTTGTAACGGTCTCAAGGGTTTCCCCTCTGTTTATTTATTGTGTATGCCTTGTATTGTATGACGTCATGTGACATTCCCTCTAAGTGACCAAACCATTTTTTTTTTGCTGTCTTTGTTTTGATTAGCTGTTAACTGTTTCCTCTTATGACCTCACTCCTTTTTTTTTTCTGGTGACCAATACAATCCTTCTCATACTTCTCATTTCGATGGCTACTAATTTTATGTTGTGGCTTGTTATAATTGACCATCAAAGAGCTAGAAACAGAACCTTATGTCTCCCTCGACACCCACAGCGGAAAAAGAGGCAGTGAAGAAGAGGAAGACCGTCTCTGGCACTGGTAGCATAAATTAGGAAGGAATATTTTATATAAGATGTGCTTGCTTTGTGCTTATCGTTTACAAGACATTACACACTTTAATAACTAATACTCGTTTCTACTCACAGAAAGCCGTGGAAGCTTTTTCCAAAGAGCCATTATCCAAAGTGGTTCCGCCCTCAGTTCATGGGCCGTGGCTTATGACCCAAAGTGGTGCACAGAAAAACTGGCTACCAACGTCAACTGCTCTCGTCACATCTCTAACACGCAAGCACTCATCCACTGTCTCAGGGAACGTAACTATACAGAACTCATCAGTTCCGCCCCTGAAGCTCCCAAATATTTCTCATGTTTTGCTCCTTCTATAGACTGGGCTGTTCTGCCTCATAATGTCAAGAGACTGTTGAGGGAGAAGAATTCTAAATTTGCTACCGTTCCTGTTATGTTTGGGATTACTAAAAACGAAGCATATGCCTACTTGAAGCAAGATGAAATTAAAAAGGGTATTTCCGATTTTCGGAAAACCCAGATAATTAGAAGTTATGTTCAAAATGTGTTTAGATATCATAGGCAAAAGATATATGAAATCCTGGATCATCATTATACAGACTGGACGCATACTTCTGACCATATTTCTAATCGGGACAATATTTTGGAAATGTTAAGTGATGGTCAGTATGTGTCGCCACTGATGGAGATGACTAATCAACACGAGCAGACAGCGGATACATATTTGTACTCTTTTGGGTACTCTACACTGTCAGAGGGTGAGGATGCGGAGGAAGTTCAAGGTGAGCATCTTACTGTCTTTCTGTCTATCTAACCTGCTGTATGGCTTCTTCTTATTAACTGTCCATGCCGTATGGCGTTGGTGGTCTTGTATATCCACAACCTTCTGTCTCGTATACTTTCAATCAACTCTGACACAGATGATCCTATATACGGACTTCCGTTTTCAAAATGGCGGGCAGCAGCTGTGTTTATTTTCGCTGGCTGTCAATTCTCTCGGATTGTTCTGTTTCATAATCATGGACTGCTATTTTATGCGCATTTCCAACGCAGGATATTATGTGTTTTTCGTGGGAACAGCGTGTATTGTGGTTGTGCTGTGTGGGGGCGGGATAATGACCGATAGTTTTGGCAGCCTCGACCACGCTGCCTTCGCAATGTTTTGATCGCGGCGGTCCACTCGGGAAGACAGAATCTCGTCAGCAGGCGACTGCAACTGTCTAGAGAGCAAACTCGATAAAAGCTGTCCACAGAAACGGAATGTGTCAACAATATATTTGGTGGGGAGGAATCGACACATACGGTTAACTCAATGGCCATCCTATATACCACAATGTCAAATTGTCCTGCATCTTTTTTCTCGGTCTCCCTCTGCCTCTCCTCCCCTCCAACTGTCTAACTGTCACGATGTACTCCAGTTTTCTCCATCTCATCACATGATCAAAGAATTTAGACTGTCTTTTTCTGGTGTGGGCAATCAGTTCTCTGCGTGAGTCGGTTTTTCTTTCAAGAATCTTTATTACTCTTTTTATTTGTCCAGGATATTCTTAACATTCGGCTATCAAACAACATTTTCGCAGCTTCCAAATAGGTTTTCACTAATTTACCACCTGTAAATGATTGTCTATCGATTCATAAATCAGTTTAGATTACTGTCTGTCGTGTCTATTTACTGATATATCTACCTCTGGCTACAATACCAGAGAGCTGGAATCGTTCATGGTACGTCAATATCTGTTTATTTGTCTGTCCATCGGTCGGTCTATTTGCCCATCTTTTAAAAGAATAACATTTCTCTTGTCGACATTTTCATGAACAGATCATTTTGAAAAAAAAAAAAAACATTCCAACCTATGTAAAAGTTGAAATCAGTGACAACTCCACAGGCGTCTAATTTTAAGTAGAACCACACCTATTTAAAAAGCACAATTACAGTCAAATAACATTGTAAAATGCTCAAAATAACCAATACTATTACTTAAATATACATCATAGTATTGTGATATCCAATTAGACTCATCAAATGGAGACCGAAGCAGTGATAAACAAGATAATCTTCTAGCAAGTATCCTAGTACAGTGTCCAGAAAACAACCACTAGATCATCAATTAATGTGTGCTCCAATGGACGCCTAAAGGCATTCTAAAAGCGAAGCCTTTTTTTTTTTTTTTTTTTTTTTTAAATAATCTATCTAATTATAGTTTATATTATAATTAGTTTAAAACATTATTGTAAATAATATATTTATTTCACCGTATTTGTGTGCACTATGATGCTACAGGCTTAACACTCTTGACAGCCTTGACAATAATATTGACAGGTTACAAGACAAAGGTATGGGTACTGTAATTACCATCATACTTTAAGGATGGGAGTCGCTGTGGCGTAGAGGCTAGCAGATCGGAAGGTCGTGGGTTCGCTTCCTGTCGGAGCTGGACTTTTTCCCAAAATGACCTTGGCTCCGAGGTCGACCCAGCCTTGACTAGGTACCAGGTAGAGTCCTGGTAAGTAAAGGTGGCCGGCGTGATGCTGACCACATCACTTATCTTGTGCCGTTGGTCTATAAAATAAAGGTATGGCTCTATATAAGCATTAAAGGCGTGGGAAAAGGTCCTTTACTTTTACTCTACTTTTAATGTTAAAATCTGAATTCCTCCCCCCCCCCCCCCCCTTTTCCATTTACAGTATATAAAGACATACAATTCCACACACGCCAACAAGATTCTGTAAATAAAAAACATACAGATAAAAGGCTTCACTCATGATTGATACATCGACACACAAGCACAACATACCATTATGTAGTTATAAAAACGCAATAGCGCTTGAACGTTGATTACGAAGATATGAGCGTAATAAAGAGAATATATTGACAAAAGATCAACTGGAGCTTCAGGAATTTTCAACAGTTTAGATACCTATCAATAAGTAAAAATGTGTCAGACAAGGATGATTTATTTTCATAACGTTGTCAGCATATAATGAGTTTTGTAGGAGATGCGGCAAGGATTTGGTTAGGTAGACATAATATAAACAATTTACTGAATTTTAAAGCCAATTTCCTGTTAGGAAACAGTGAAAGATGCTTACGTACACCGTTTACTCTTATCTTTAAAATCCATACATTGCCAACTGGCAACTGATTGGGCGATTATACTTTTTCACGGCATAAGATTCCAGAGAGAAGGAAAGAATTTGCAGTTTTGCCCATGCAGTGAATGGGTTTTCAGACCTCTTGTGGTAATGAAATTTAGTCCAATTATTCGTGCAGAATAAATGGCTAAATAGATTCCGGTGCCATTCTAACAAAGAGTTGAGTTGAGTTGAGTCAAGAATTGACATCACGGCACTCGGGGCATTCCCATGCATGCTCCGTTTTCAGCTTCAGCAGCCAGTGAAGAGTTCCAATACTGATGGTACCAATCACAATCTGATTAAATGTCTCTCTTGCCTTTCCTCTGAGTGTAGTGAGCCGGCTAGACCCTCTGGTTACACCCAGGTGCTTCATTCTCTCCAGGCCATAATAATCTTCTTTCTCTACTGATTCTGTTGCTTGTATCAGTTCACCACCCAGTTGTGCAGATCCAGCCAATCTGTCTGCCTGTTCATTACTCACCACGCAATCTTAGCCTGGAGAAAAGATCCAAAGTATGCCCACTACCCGTGACCTTTCCAGTAAGGCTTGCTACTCTAACAAAGAATACATAGCATTAAGTGGCAAGGCAGTATCACAAACACCGAGGTACTGGAAAAGTACTGGAAAGCGCTGGTATCACTGCAGTTTTCTCAGTTCTCAGTCTTTGAAGGTTTAGGATACTAGCATACATTTGGAGAACGGAGAAGGGTAGAATCAACAGTACTTTGTATGTCATTGATGTTTTGATAATACTGCAATTCCAAATCTTTGAGACTTTCAAACAAAGGTGTATATAATTCATGATTATAATTGATTCACGCGGCGTCCATGGCTTAGGTGTTGCGACGCTGGCCGGGTGAATTTTAATCATGGTATGGGACGTCACAGGTCGACCCAGCCTAAAATGGCTACTAGGATGGGTGTCATGGGGAATTAAAGACGGCAGGCGTAATGCTGAACACATTACCCACCTAGTGCTGATGGTCTGTAAACATATGGTTGCTCTTCCCATATGCTCGATGCGCCTAAAGGCGTAGAAATGAAATCTTTTAATACAGGATTCACACCCACATCCCATGATAAGCTTTCAAACATTGGAATTATTTGTTTTTCTTTCTCCATTCTTTGAAGTAGGGAGCCGCAGTGGTCTAGCGGCTAGACACTCGCCTGCTGAACGGAAGGTCGTGGGTTCGGATCATAACAATATCTGGTATCCATTCAAAGCTGAGTACCAGATATTGTCCTGTGAAGTAAAGGCGGCCGGCGTGATGCTGACAACGTCACACACCAAATGCCGTTTGGTCTATAAAATATAGGTCTAGCTTTATACGCCGGAAGACGTGGAAGAGGGTCCTTTGCTTACTTTACTATTCTTTGAAGTAAAACAGGACAAAAAGCAGTGGAGGGGGGGGGGGGGGGGGCAAAGTCATTAAATCTGGTTACCAATACAGTTTTAGGTTCTTAATTTATAACGTACCCCAAACACGAAATCCCCGTGGGAAATCCACAGCTGACCTGACAGTCCATTATTTCAAGGGGTGCAAGTGTGCTGTTTTTTTTTTTTTTTTGAGTCTTTATCTAGTGTCTTCTAACCCTAACCCTAACCCTAACCCTAACCCTAAACTTGGCTGTAGATAAATCGCGAGAAACTACAACCTGAAAACCTTAGAATTTATTGGGATTGTCTCCCGTGACGTAGTCGTGACGTCAGGGGTAAGTTATAAATTAAGTACCCAGTTTTAATACGCAGTCCCAACTGCCAACCATACCGTCTATTTGTCCGTCCGTCTTTCAAGACATAAGTCCGTCGCCCATCTGTCTGTCTAATTGCTCCCCCCCCCACCCCCTTTTTTTCTCTCTCCCTCTCTCTCTCTCTCTCTCTCTCTCTCTCTCTCTCTCTCTCTCTCTCTCTCTCTCTCTCTCTCTCTCTCTTCCCGCCCTTCCTTTATGAAACACCAAACATTAATCCAACGCATCTTTCATACGTCAGTCTATCTTCGCCCCGCCAAACATTCCCCCGACTAGTTCCGCCCGAATCTGCCCTGCTGGTAATAACAGCATCAGTAGTCGTTATCCAAATAACCCGACATTACACGCAAAACACATTTGCCCATATATTTGGACACACTCTACTCAATCACACTGGCTATTTCGCTGCGGCGATTTTGTAAATTGCCTCTTTCATTGCAGGAATCCACGGGGACGAGCTGCCGTATGTGTTCGGGTCGCCTTTGGTCGACGGCCTGTCTCCGTTTCCCTCGGCATATACCAACACCGAGAGGATGCTGAGTGAGGCGGTGATGACGTACTGGACCAACTTTGCAAAAACAGGGTAGGCGGTTGAGTGGGACAGGGTGTTCTAGCTGGCGGCCTCTGGCCAATCTTTACATGTCGATGTAACTGTATCTTTGTAACTCTTGTCAGGTTTCTGACTGTCTGTCTGTCTTTCTTTCTGTCTGTCTTTCTTTCTTTCTTCTTTACTATCTATCTATCTATCTATCTATCTATCTATCTATCTATCTATCTATCTATCTATCTATCTATCTATCTATCTATCTATCTATCTATCTATCTATCTATCTATCTATCTATCTATCTATCTATCTATCTATCTATCTATCTATCTATCTATCTATCTATCTATCTATCTATCTATCTATCTATCTATCTATCTATCTATCTATCTATCTATCTATCTATCTATCTATCTATCTATCTATCTATCTATCTATCTATCTATCTATCTATCTATCTATCTATCTATCTATCTATCTATCTATCTATCTATCTATCTATCTATCTATCTATCTATCTATCTATCTATCTATCTATCTATCTATCTATCTATCTATCTATCTATCTATCTATCTATCTATCTATCTATCTAGGCGTGTGTCAATGAGTGTGTCTGTGTGTATGGTGTTTGTGTGCTTGTCTGTAGGTGTGCCTGCGAGCGTGTCTGTTTTTTTTGGTCTCTGTGTTGGTTTGTCCATATGCGTGTTTTTATGTGCATATGAATGTGTGTCTGTAAGCGTGTCTGTGTGTGTTTCTGTCTGCGTGTCAGTGTGCGTGTCAGTCTGTGTTGTGTGTCTGTGTTTGTGTTTTTTTATGTCTATCTGTATGTGTGGCTGCGTGTGTGTCTGTGTGTATGATTGTATGTGGATATGTGTGGGTGTGGCTTGGCTGCATGTTTGTCTGTGTGTGTGTGTGTGTCTGTCTGTTTGTGTGTATCTATGCTGTGTCTGTAGGTTCTTCTGCATGTGTGTCTGTGTGTCTATGCCTGCGTGTGCCTGTGGCTGTTTGGTTTTCTGTGTGTTGTTTCGTGTGTATTTGTATGTTCATCTTTTTGATAATGTGTGTGTGTGTGTGCGTCTGCATGTGTGTGTCTGTGCGAGTATTTGTGCGTCTGTGGGTGTGTTAGTATGTGTTTGTGTATGTCTCTGTGAGTCAGTGTGTGTGTGTGTGCCATTATGTGTCTGTAGGTGTGTATGACTGCATGTGCATCTGTGTCTGTCTGTGGCTGTGCGTGGCTTTGTGTGTATCGGTGTGAGTCTCTATCGGTGTGTCTATTATATAATGTCTGCGTGTCTCTGCTTGTGTCGGGTTATTCGTCTGCGTGTATGTCTATGTGCGTATGTGTGACTGTGCGTGTCTGTGTGTATATCTGTGTATGTGTGGGTATTGCGTATGTCTGTGTGTGTGTCTGTTTCCCTGCTTTTGTGTGTGTATGTGACTGCATGTGTGTGTGTCAATATGTGTCTGGGTTGTATGCGTGTGTGTTTTAGAGCGTGTGTATGTGTGTGTATGTAAGTATGTACTTTTGTATGTATGTATGTATGTATTATGTATGTATGGATGGATGGATGGATGGATGGATGGATGGATGGATGGATGGATGGATGGATGGAATGAATGGATGGATGGATGGATGGATGGATGGATAGATGGATGGATGGATGGATGGATGGATGGATGGATGGATGGATGGATGGATGGATGGATGGATGGATGGATGGATGGATGGATGGATGGTTGGATGCCAACCCCCGGAACTGAACCCGGACCTGAACCCGGACCACAAGGAGTTCGTCACCCGGTCTCCGCGCAATCCGGTTTAGCCAACTACGCTAGGGAGCCGGGCAGATAGATAGATAGATAGATAGATAGATAGATAGATAGATAGATAGATAGATAGATAGATAGATAGATAGATAGATAGATAGATAGATAGATAGATAGACAGACAGACAGACCGACCGACCGACCGACCGACCGACCGACCGACCGACCGACCGACCGACCGACCGACCGACCGACTAGACCGACCGACCGTATTTGACCGACCGACCGACCGACGACGACCGACCGACCGACCCGACCGACGACCGACCGACCGACCGACCGACCGACCGACCGACCGACCGACCGACCGACCGACCGACCGACCGACCGACCGACCGACCGACCGACCGGACCGACCGACGACCGACCGACCGACCGACCGACCGACCGACCCGACCGACCGACCGACCGACCGACCGACCGACCGACCGACCGACCGACCGACCGACCGACCGACCGACCGACCGACCGACCGACCGACCGACCGACCGACCGACCGACCCGACCGACCGAACCGACCGACAGACAGACAGACAGACACGACAGACAGACAGACAGACAGACAGGAATAGACAGATAGACAGACAGAATTCGATAGACCAGATAGACAGATAGACAGATAGACAGATAGACAGATAGACAGATAGACAGATAGACAGATAGACAGATAGACAGATAGACAGATAGACAGATAGACAGATAGACAGATAGACAGATAGACAGATAGACAGATAGACAGATAGACAGATAGACAGATAGACAGATAGACAGATAGACAGATAGATAGATAGATAGATAGATAGATAGATAGATAGATAGATAGATAGATAGATAGATAGATAGATAGATAGATAGATAGATAGATAGATAGATAGATAGATAGATAGATAGATAGATAGATAGATAGATAGATAGATAGATAGATAGATAGATAGATAGATAGATAGATAGATAGATAGATAGATAGATAGATATAGATAGATAGATAGATAGATAGATAGATAGATAGATAGATAGATAGATAGATAGATAGATAGATAGATAGATAGATAGAGATAGATAGATAGATAGATAGATAGATAGATAGATAGATAGATAGATAGATAGATAGATAGATAGATAGATAGATAGATAGATAGATAGATAGATAGATAGATAGATAGATAGATAGATAGATAGATAGATAGATAGATAGATAGATAGATAGATAGATAGATAGATAGATAGATAGATAGATAGATAGATAGATAGATAGATAGATAGATAGATAGATAGATAGATAGATAGATAGATAGATAGATAGATAGATAGATAGATAGATAGATAGATAGATAGATAGATAGATAGATAGATAGATAGATAGATAGATAGATAGATAGATAGATAGATAGATAGATAGATAGATAGATAGATAGATAGATAGATAGATAGATAGATAGATAGATAGATAGATAGATAGATAGATAGATAGATAGATAGATAGATAGATAGATAGATAGATAGATAGATAGATAGATAGATAGATAGATAGATAGATAGATAGATAGATAGATAGATAGATAGATAGATAGATAGATAGATAGATAGATAGATAGATAGATAGATAGATAGATAGATAGATAGATAGATAGATAGATAGATAGATAGATAGATAGATATGAATAGGTATAGATAACGGAGAGAGTGACTGCAGATGCTTTAGAAGTTGACCGTATGAGAGGAAATATGTTAAATACACAAGATGACAACAATGGTCCTGGCATTCAATAATTTAATTGTGGAGTACATTTTAACCTGAGCGATTTATGTTAGTCATACTCATCCCTCCCCTCCCCCTATATATATATATATATATATATATATATATATATATATATATATATATATATATATATATATATATATATATATATATATATATATATATTCTAATAACGCTACCTCAGCTATTTTGAAGTGAGCTTTACTTTCCGTTTTTCAAAAAATATAAACAGATTTAGCATGTGATAAACAAAAAATCATTTTTAAGTTCTAATCATTTAAACAACCACTCATATAAAGACACAGTTATGTGTTGCGAGTTCTAGAGTCGGCAAACAATACTATCTTTATATCTGAGCAGACATTGATTGGGAAATTAACCATATTAGACACATTCTCTTTTTATTTTCTTTCTTTTCTATTTAGTGGGTCTGAGCCACAGCCACGCGTGGCCGGGTACCCATTGTATATATATATATATATAAATATATATATATATATATATATATATATATATATATATATATATATATATATATATATATATATATATATATATATATATATATATATATATTTTTCAACTGGCACCTTTCCGCTTTCCAGACAATAGTGTTATATCGAGATGTGAGGTGGCATAGGACTCAAAGCCCATGGCTATGACGATAATGACTAGCAAGAATCCCTCCCCTCCCTCCTTTACACCCCCACCTTTTTTTCCCCACCCGCGTTAAGAAAAGTCTTCCACAATTATAGCTTGGGATTTCAGAACCGTTGATTTCAACATTTGTGATTAGTTTGTTTCTTTTCAGACGCTCAGCTATCATCGTTTCTGCAAGCATTTCTTCCTTCATTCTCATTCTAATGTTGATGTGTCCAATAGGCACAACACGTTCTGTGGCATTTTGTTCCTATGAGTCCACCGCAGTACCTGTATCATTCACTACCCACTTGCAAAGATCTGTATATAATTGTACCGTGGCATTTTCTACCTGTTATATAAAGTAAGACGCCAACAGTGGCGACTAAAAAGCATACAGTTTAAACTTTCTCTCTCTATATCTGTCTGTCTGTCTATCTGTCTCTCTCTCTTTCTCTCTCTCTCTCTCTCTCTCTCTCTCTCTCTCTCTCTCTCTCTCTCTCTCTCGCCACAACATCACGTATTCCCAAACTCCCCATGCCATATTTAAAACCCCTATTCCACTTGGTCCTTTCAATACACTCCCCTCTTTGAAAGCTAGAAAAATTGAGCCTGTTTAAGACTACCATTGCTTCGGGAACTGTCTAGGGACTATAGTTTCATTGGCTAAGATTACTGTTCGTTACAACCGCTACGGAGAACATTTAATAAGTTACTGGGCCCAAATTCTTCTAGGCTGACGAGTTTTGGTTACACGGTTACCTCAATTCCAATTTTTCCCCTTACACCAGCACGCTTTGGCTTCTTTT